AGTATGATCAAATAGCATAGAAAGATAGAGCATTTTTTTCTCTATCGTTTCATACGAAAAGAAATTCTTATTGAGCCTGCTATAAGTCATTAAAGGGTTACTGCCACTACTTTTTGACTGACCTAAGTATTTCTGATTTATGTTTTGCTTCACTCAGGTAAAACGAGTGCTCTCTATGCGATGAAACTCGGTGAAGTTGTGACAACAATACCAACGATTGGTTTTAATGTTGAAACAGTTGAATATAAAAATGTTGCCATTACAGTTTGGGATGTTGGTGGTCGTGACAAAATTCGACCTCTATGGCGACACTATTATCAAAATACACAAGCCTTTGTCTTTGTAGTCGATTCGAATGATCGAGAACGAATAAGTAATGCTTCTGAACAGCTACATACCATGATTAATGAAGAGGAACTTCTTAAGATACCCGTCCTCATATTGGCTAATAAACAAGATTTGCCGAATGCAATGTCGACAAGTGAATTAACTGATAAGCTTGATTTGGAAAAATTAAGCTGTGACAGAAAATGGTACATACAACCGACAGTAGCCACTCAAAATCAAGGTCTTCGCGAAGGTTTTGAATGGTTGGCAGAAACATTGGTGACGAAAAAAGTTGACATGTTGGAACCACTTACAGAAACAATAAAAGATTGGAAAACAATGAAAGACGATATTCTATCAATGTTTCATTCGATTGGTCTAAAATCATTTTCCTCTCATTTTATTCAAAATTAAACCTGTGATGCATTGCGATCAAAATCTCACTGCATTGCTTGGAAATGTATGATAAATCGTTTTTAGAATTTAGTTGAAATAAAATGTACGATATTATATTGAAAAAACACTTCTGTATTATTAAGAGGTTTTATATTTTTCTTCAAGTTCATTAAATAAGAGAAACTTGTTTTAATTGTTATTCAATGTTTTAACAATAATTTGACTATTTTTATTTTGTTCGATAAAACAACTTGTGATACGAGAGTAAAAGAAAAATTAAAAGAATATTAACATTGTTAACAAATGACATATTAAGGTCCACCCCCCACCCAAAATTTTATTTTTGCCATAGAACATCGAATCTTAACGAAATTTTCAGAGTAGATGCATCTTAGGCTGGGCACCTTGTGATAAAAATTTCAGCCTGAAATCTTAAGGATTCCAGGAGATAGCTTAATATTAAGGTCCAAAACATAGGTCTTCGTGCGTCCCAGATTTCTCCGCCATTTTGAAAGCTAGAAAGCTCGGGTTTGTTTTAAAATGTAGCCAATATCTGGGACTACAACTTAACAGAGTCCGATTTTTTAATTTTTCTTTAGCTTAGGTTTTAGAGAACTTCTACGTCATGATATGAAATCAGTAGGGTGTAAATTCTCAAACATTTCCCCCTCATCTGACATCTATCATGAAATCGAAAAATCGGGCTCTGTTAAGTTATAGCCCCAAGTGTTGACTACATTTTAAAACAAACCCGAACTTTCTAGCTTTCAAAATGGCGGAGAAATCTGGGACGCACGAAAACGTAAAATCAAAAAATCTCATTTCGAGAAAAAACGCAAAACACTTTTTAGAAGTGTATTTCATGACTTTTCATCCAGTTATAGTGTTTTTCGATCATCTTAAATAATAAAAGACACTTTGAACTCATCATGGGTGAAGGGTGTGGGTGTGTGGGTGTGTGGGTATGGATGTGGTGTGGGTGTGGGTGCGGTGTGGGTGGATGTTGTTTTTCTTAATATCCACACCCACCCATCCACACCCACCCACACCCACACCCACCCACACCCACACCCACCCACACCCACACCCACACACCCACATCCACACACCCACACCCTCAAGTCATCCGCCTCATCTATATTTACCAATGGTGATGATGATGATGATGATGATGACGATGATGATGAATCCATTCTCTTGCTTTTCACTTGCTGTGATCGGATTTGCCTCATAATAGACCTTCTGCCTTTCTTTTTCTGACGAATATCTTTGCTGCTCATTTGTTTAAAAGATTCGTATTACTTTTTTCTTTCGTATACTTCGAATTCTGTTTTTGGATCAAAGCAAACACGATGAAAGTATAGAGAACGAACGTAAACGAAAAACAAATATATATCTCGCTACATGATAGAATCAAAGTCAAGACAACATTCTGTACAATAGAAAGAAATATATTTTACCGTTACAAGTTGAAATGCGCAAAAAAAATTGAATTATTCGAAAGACGGCTTTTTTCATGGGTAAAGGTTTTAAGAAAAGCCTCTGTAAAACCATGAAAAACCGTCGTAAACAAAATACACTATAGTGCATTCGATAGCGGACGTGATGCTCTATCACATGCGCCATTAAAAATAAAATCGATAAATTTGACAGAAATCAAGTTTTTTTGGGTGGGGGGTGGGCCTGAATATTAAAATGTTACAAAACTGGTAATTTATAAGAGTCATGCTAGAATTTAAAGTTAATACCAATTTTTTGTTTTGGGATTGCTGCGATTGAGTCAACAATCTTTCTTATTTAATAGAAATATGGCGAAAAAAGATTGTTTGCGAATGAACAGGGTGTGGGTGTGATTGTTGTTCTTCATTATATGTACACCCACATGCACACTCCGGCTTATTCTAAACCCATACCCACATTCACACCCCGGTCTATTCTGAACCCACACCCACACCCGATGATATTGTATTCAGACTTCACTTCAAGTCATAAAATCTGTTATTAATATGTGACCGGTATCCCGCCGGTTAGGACTGGTATTCAACTAGTACAAATTTATTATTATGACCAATAAGTTACCGATATTCGCTGGTTTTATGTGATCATTTTTCCAATAAAGAGTAATTATTTATGAAAGCGATATTACATGGGATTCAATTCAATATCTAGTTAACCAAATAAATGTAGAGATCTATAATGATAAATTTTATTCTAACTTTATTTTTTATGGAAATTTTCGATCTTATACGATCATTATCAACCACTTTAACTGAAATTTAGATGCTACAAAAATACGAATAGGCAAAACAGAGAAAACAATTTGTCAAACAAAATAGATGAATATCATAATCAATAACATCATAAACGTAAACTTTTAAACTCTTAATATTGAATTAAAATTATCATCAATATACATTCAATGTAACAATAATTCGATTTAATAATAAATTCAATGTAATAATAATTCAATGTGATGACATTATGAAAATTAATAACATAAGTGAAATCAATGATATGTTTAAAATAAGTG